GGTCGGATTATGGGGAAGAGATGGCCGGAGGTGGGAGATTGTGAAGGTGGGAGTTCCGTCGCGAGAGATTTGAACGGGAGTCGTCTGTCGCGAGGAAAGAAAAGTGAAGACCTGCAAATAAAAAAAATCCATCAATTTTAATAAGGCAGCAGGTAAGTCGTGACTCTACGTCGCGAGTCGCGACAAGGGTTGCGAAATAGGTCGCGAGTCGCGACATTCGCGACTCGCGAAAGTAACCTAGGCTGATTGAGATTAAATGTGGGGTTATTCGCGAGTCGCAAAAATTTCGCGAGTCGCGAATCTGCAAGTCGCGAGTCGCGATATTTACTTGCGAGTCGCGATATTTACTCGCGAGGCGCGAGACAAACAGAGACGATGGCCATATCTCGAGGGAAAACTCGCGAGTCGCGAGTACTCTCGCGAGTCGCGATAGTAGTTTTTTTTTTTAAATCTAAAAAAAGAAATATATAGATATATATATACACAAAGTACAAATAAAGCTCAGCTAGATCAAGAATACGCTGGTTCGCTGAGACTGATGGTCTCGACATGATGCTTCCTGAACTCTCCCTCGAAGTAAGGCTTCACTCGCTGCTAACCGTAAATAGCTCATCATTAGCTGGATTCTGGAGTCTAACGATCTCAAAAGACAGCACCTCATCAATAATATACGGGCCACTCCACCGGGACTTGAGTTTTCCTGGAAATAGACGAAGTCAAGAGTTGTAGAGAAGGACTTGCATGCCCGGTACCAGCTCCTTTCGAACAATGTGGGCATCATGGAGTCTCTTCACCTTGTCTTTGTAAATCTTCGCATTTTCATATGCCTCGTTCCTCCTTTCTTCCAACTCCGAGAGCTGCAACAATCGAGCTTTGCCGGCGGCATCTAGAGCAAAGTTCGCCTTCTTGATCGCCCACAAAGCCTTATGCTCAATTTCCACCGGTAGATGACAAGCCTTCCCATAGACTAGTCTGAATAGACTCACGCCCAAGACGCTTTTGTACGCTGTTCGTTGGGCCCACAAAGCATCGTTGAGTCGGCTCGACCAATCCTTCCTTGATGAGTTAACCGTCTTCTGGTCTTTTGATCTGCTTATTGCTTGTCTCCGCCTGACCCGAAGTTTGCGGGTGATAGGGAGTAGCCACTTTGTGGGATATGCAGTACTTCTTCATTAGCTTCTCAAAAAGCTTGTTGCAAAAGTGCTTCCCTCCATCACTCACAATTGCTCGTGGGAACCCAAATCTACTCAATATATACCTGTGCACAAACTTGATCGCGACATTAGCATCACATGTGTTCGTGGGGATAGCCTCAACCCACTTAGACACGTAATCTACATCAAGTAAAATGTACTCGTAGCCATTAGATTTAGGAAACGGTCCCATAAAATCAATGCCCCAAACATCAAAAATTTCGACTTGAAGGTTGTTAGTCAAGGGCATTTCATTTCTGCGACCTATATTCCCAGTTCTTTGGCATCGGTCACAAGAACGGCAAAAAGTATGAGCATCTTTAGAAAGGGATGGCCAAAACAAACCTGACTGTAGTACCTTAAAGGCGGTTTTCTGGCCGCCATAGTGGCCTCCACAATGGAACTCATGGCAGAATGTATTAACATCGGTTTGCTCCTCTTCTGGAACACATCTCCTGAGCACCTCATCCTTCCCATTTTGAAAAGGAATGGCTCGTCTCAGAAGTAATCCCTACACACAGACACAAAACGCTTTCTCTCTTGGGAAGAGAGAGTAGGCCGTAGTTTACCACAACACAAATAATTCACAATGTCAGCATACCATACACTTTTCGACACTTTATGCGCATGCTCATAAGGGAAATTATCAGTAATAGAATGATGCACAATCAATGAAGATGATGAATCAGATGGTACTATGCGTGACAAGTGATCAGCAACTACATTTTTAGAACCTTTCTTATCTTTTATATCAACATCAAATTCTTGCAGCAACAAGATCCACCGGATAAGTTGTGGTTTTGAATGAGTTTTGCTCAAAAGGTACTTCAAAGCCGTATGGTCAGAGTGAATAATAACCTTGGAACCCAAAATATATGATCTAAATTTTTCAAGAGAAAAGACCACGGCTAGAAGTTCCTTCTCACTGGTAGTATAGTTCTGTTGGGCCCCATTAAGAGTCAATCTAGCATAATAAATCACTCGAAGCAACTTATCAACTCGTAGACCCAAAACGGCGCCCACAGCGAGATTAGATGCATCACACATGATATCGAAAGGAATAGACTAGTCAGGGGCAATAACAATAGGAGCACTCACTAGCTTGCTCTTTAATTCATTAAACGCACACAAACAAGCATCATAAAAAACATATGGCACATCTTGAGCAAGCAAATGACACAACGGCTGACTAATCTTAGAGAAATCCTTAATAAACCGCCTATAGAACCCCGCATGCTCCAAGAAACTCCTAATCCCCTCAACATTCACAGGAGGGGGAAGTTTTTCAATAACATCCACCTTGGCCTTATCGACCTTTATCCCCTTACTAGAAACAACATGGCCTAAGACAACTTCACTTCTAACCATGAAATGACTCTTTTCCCAGCTCAAAGTCAAATTGGACTCAATGCAACGTTCAAGGACTCTAGATAAATTATGAAGACAATGAGAAAATGAATCACTAGATATAGAGAAATCGTCCATGAATACCTGCAAGCAGTCCTCAAGCATATCCGAGAAGATGGAGAACATGTACCTCTGAAATGTACCCGGTGCATTGCATAGGCCAAAGGGCATCCGTCTGTATGAGAAAGTACCAAAGGGGCACGTGAACGTCGTCTTGGGCTGATCCTCTGGTGCTATGGCCACTTGGTAGTAGCCGGAGAGTCCATCCAGAAAGCAGTAGAACTGGTGGCTCGAAAGACTATCAAGGATCTG